GGTTGGTCATAATGGCTCATATTGAGTCCAGCGAACATGCTTTGAGGAAAGCACTGACAATCTTATGCCTAAGAAAAAGAAATCACATAAAAAAAGAAAATATCAATAGAAGAGAAAATGTATGTTCAGACTGAGATACATTTTATATGAATAGATTAAACCATATCATTTTGATAACTCAAAGCATGTTCCTTCGTCTTTTTCTTTTTACAAACGATGTAAACAACTTGAAGGGATGTTTTTGATGGTGTCCAGTCAAGACTTGGCTCACACCCACAGTCCCCAGAAACTCTGCAACCTGACCTGACATATGGTTATCACTGAGCTTAACACCAGCTAGCTAACCTAAGCTAAAAGCAATATGTAGAACTAGGAACTTCTTCTGTGATCAGTATACACTATCTGGGAATCTATCCCTATGACAAATGTTTTGAATACAAATGCATGTCCAAGTTCAACGCTTAAAAAACACCAACATGACAGTCTAATATAAGTGAATGAAGAGTGGGTTTCAAAATGAGAAAGATGCCATTAAGAAATCACGAAATTACATAATTGCTATGCTTTAAAGATTAAAAATCTGAGGGCCTTCAACCAGGCTGCTTCCAGTCACATGATCTTCATGGGGCGTCTCTATGCCCAGTCAGTGTTATGGTTTACACTACTCTGGAAGGTATACCTTGAGAGAATGTATCCTCAAACCAGTTAAAGCTAAACGTTTTTCAGGAATGATACCCAACCCATTCTTTCAGCTTTTTTGCTCATTACATAGAAACAAAACCAAACAGTATCCATCAAGGAGAAGGCAAATCAAGACCATGTGATCAGACTGCAGCATCAGCACTTCTCTGACACTCCCCAACACACTGAGTCTTTCCCTGCCTTTGCTCATCTCAGAGCCATGTCCCATAGAGTAATGGTGCACGACGTAAATCTGGGCCATCAGGAAATCATGACACACATATGGCCACAGTGCCTCCCTGATGATGAGGCCTACTTTTCAAATCATGTGACTAAATTATGTGAAACAACAAAGTGAGATTACTACCATTTGCCGGCTAGACGAAGCTTTCACAATGCATACAAATCGAATTTATGAGGTTTTACAAACCTTGTATACAAATACATCAATACAAAATAACAGGCAACGTTGTTATTCAAGTTTCAGATCAAGCCTGCTTATACACAGACTGCACAAGTACAATAAACAGAAATGGTGCAGCAATATATATTAAAGATAACATCCTATTTAGCCGTGAAGACATTTAAGACATAAATGGTGTACTTGTGATCAACTTCAGTTTTGTATTTATTGTAAACATCTGCTTGGAAAGGCACAAGGAGGCTAACACATTGGCTAATGAATGATCGGACCCTTTTCCCATTGCTGTAGAACAATTGATCACGCTATGACTTATGGATTTATAAACAGAACCCGTCTGCATTCACAAATCCAAACAAACACGACTAAAGTGTCCGATGTTAACTCATGTATTCAACATTGTAACGGTAACGTCATGCAAACTCACAACGACGGTGGCTAGTTAGCCCAACAACCGGCTAAGTGACAGCATCGGTTTGGTTAAATCTCTGTTGTTATTCAGCAAACAACATGCTAGAAATGTCAATGTCCAGGAACATCTGGACATTGACTTGATTAGAAGTTAGAGCATCATTACATGATCGCGTCTAATAACAATCTAGGCCCTAAATTAGCCGTTTTGACAGTTAAGTTTGCGTTAGCTGGTTACCTGCTACATCTTGACAACAAATAACATACGATTATATTTCAAGACGTAAGTCGGTTGCGTATATCTACACAATGGAAATTGATAAAATGCCTTCCACTTGTTATAATAAGGTTAGTGAATTAACTTGGTTTCTGCATAATTTCACAAAAGTCAACATACACCAAACTAACGACAGCTAGCGTTAGCTATAGCATGCCAGTTAGCTGTAAACTAGCTGCGAGGGTTGGATTATGGTAAATGCGTTGCTTAGTGCATGTCAACCTATATTAAGTAATTGATGAGCACGTAATGTTTTGCATAGATGAGTGTTCTTTCGCAGTTTAATGTGTAATGTATCCAAATTCTTGGCAGCTTAATATAAAAAAACAACATAGTATTAGCTATCTGTTAGCTGATAGCTCGCATCGTTAGCTTGCCAGTTAGCTGGAAAACACAGGCTAGCTCCAAATCAGTCCAAATCGTTCCATCATTTATTACCATAATCTCAACGTTACTCGGGCGGTGTGTGTATTTGTCTGTTAAAGTATTTCCTATGTTCTGTCCTTACCAGATATTAAGTCTTTAGAGCTTTGTGTTCTTGAGCTGTTCAGAAGAGGAATGCAGGTTATCCTGGCTCAAGTATGATCTGTCTATCCAAGATGGCTGCTCACGGCACAGGGTTTCCTTCGCTGTATACAATGGGCTGCTGGGATAAAGAGTATCATATGCGGCGATCTGCAGCCTCGCCTGCACAGGTGTATTCTTGCATTGCGTCGGCCCACTGGCATAATTACTATGTATAAAGTGCCATTTCAGATTATGTAACCGTCACTTAGATGAAATCAGGTAATAATTGAGTAGGCCTACATGAATTTGATTAAACCATGCAATTAACCTAGGTCAGACTATGTCTTGAGTAACAAAGCTTAATAAATTGTATGAGCAATGGCTCTATATCGTTTACATCTATATCTGTTTTTTCTTCTTCTGTTTTTTACAATGGTATTTGGTTTATTACCGAATTATTAAATTGGTTTATTTTGGTTTTTTTCCCACAAGTTTGTGCATTCAAACTGATTGCATTTGAAGCCAGTTTTAAAACCAGCTTTTGTGTTTTAACATGTTTTTTTGCTTTCAAGGATAATGAGACAAATGTCATTTAAATAAAATAAAGAAGAGCTGTTTATCAAACATTTGAAGCTTAACGGCATCCTCCTCGCCAAAATGCCCTTGTGTTAGTGAGTTTCTGCCCCAGCAGTGCTGCCTAACTCTAAAATGACGAAATGATGTAAAGATAAAATATGTAATGTTAAGAACATTATACTTCACAACTGAAAAAAAACCTCTAAAATGTATGACATTATAATATAAGCCAATAATGGATATGTAATTATTGTTTAGCAATCAATTTTCATATGCACATAAATTCACTTTCCAATCGGCTGGCCTACTGTTTAACACAGTTTAAGTAATTCTCTTGAATTCATTTGAATCTTATTTATTTAAATCAACACTTAAAACTCACTTTTCTCTCTGGCCTTCTAGGCTTCTCTTATCAAGAATAACTTTTATCCAANTCTCTCCGCCATACCGGTATAAAATCATGCATTTTGTAATGTCAGGGTTTTATATTGGAGGAAAATAGTTCAATTTGTCCTTTTTATTCTATATCACCACTGGTGATATAGAATAAAAAGGACAAATTGAACTATTTTCCTCCAATATAAAACCCTGACATTACAAAATGCATGATTTTATACCGGTATGGCGGAGAGATCAAAAGATGTGGTTATAATGGGAGTGGATGGGACATTTTGTCCGTGAGTGGCTAATGTGTGAGTTTTTTGTTTAATCTGATTCTGTGCAAAAACTAATAATCCACCAAAATAAATGTTGTTGCTAATCTTTGACATATCCAAGACTGTGATTAAAAATTTTTTTTTTTAAAAAGCCGACCCCCCCAACATTCATTATATGGAAAATAACTGCCTTGTTTTGCATGTTTTTCATAGAAAACGCAAATTCATGTTTTCAAACTGGCAGTTCAAGGGTTAAAATCCTGAACATAATTTTAACATTTGGTATTTTTGATCAGGACTGAAGTTGATTGAAAGATTTAACCCCAAAAAGCTTTAAAAAATATTAATCTGTTGTCATTTTAGAGTAGTTTTTGGAAGTGGACATTTTTGTCCCGAATGACTAATGTGTGAGTTTTTTGTTCAATCTGATTTTGTGCAAAAACTAATAATGCAAAAAAATAAATTTTTGTTGCTAATCTTTGACAGACTGTTATAAAAAAAAAGGAGCCAGTCACCAGATATGTATCTTTTGGAAAATAACTCATTTTCTGTTTTCATCATGAAAAAAAACAGCAGTTTCATGTATTCAAAATGGCATTTAAAGGGTTAAAATCCTGAAAATGATTACATTTTTGTTATTTTCTATTAGGGCGGAAGTTGCTTTAAAGATTGAACCCCAAAAAGTTGTGAACATTTTTTTTTAATATACCGGTAATGTTTTTATCTTTATCTTTTTGTCTTTTGCAGTGGACATTTTTGTCTCGAATGACTAATTTGCGTAGTCCAATCGAATGATACCGGAGTGTTAAGTTAATGATTGCTGATATAATTAATCACTTTGTTATTATCAGTGGGTAATACAAAATTGTGAAAGATAATAAGGTAATTACTCAATCAGTGCAACAAACAATTTGGTTATGTTGTGATAATTCACATCCGTACAGAGGTTCTTTTTTTATTTCTGTACTTTAGTGTGCATTGATGAAGCATCTGGCCAGCCTGGGCTCACATTGTAACAGTCCTCTGATCTGATAGGATTAAGGTTGTTGAATAACACCGGCCCTTACATGACCAATTTAAATAGACGTCAACAAGTCTGCTATTTCATTTGTACTCAGAGATGCTCAAATTAGATTTTTTTAAGGTTGTATTTTTGTTGATAATATATTTGTGACTAATCTCTGTGTAGCCTAAATCTCTATGTTTTTGTTATTCATAACATATATTGCATTATTTATTACTGTGGCAAGTTAACCTTAATTAAACAAATGAACATTCCTGAATCAGTAACCCAGCATGCAGAATACATGTTCAGTGGATATGGTTTGTAAGATATAAGAATACATTTGTACTTTTATATAAAAAATAACACCTCACAAATGACATTGAATTATTGCCCCTGTCTGAATATCTAGAAAATATCTAAGAAGTAAAACTGCATATTGCCTTTCCTCACAGTTTACGTGCCTAAACTTCCCCTTCTCTTCTCTCTTTCAGAGCCACAATGGCCACCGCACCGTACAACTACTCCTACATTTTCAAATACATCATTATCGGTAAGTGAACGATGCTCTTCATCGATGCCGTGTTAAACAGCCTTTGGTTGCAGTGCATTGATTTGTCGTACTTTCTCAAGAAGCTCCAATAAACCACGATCTATCTTTACTGTATGTTACCCTTTACCAGTGGCGGCGCTAGGGGGTGGCTACTTGGGCTCAAGCCCCGGATGTTTTCTCAAAAGCCCCGAATGTTTCACTTAAAGCACGTATTTTTAATTTTTTTCAACGTCTCGTGAGTAATGTGCAGTACCGGAGTCCAACAGGAGCTGCAGGACAGTACCCTGCGTACTGCGTAGCCTTCCCTGCCCTGAAGACGAAGTGATCCTTCGTTAGCGTGAAGAGTCTGCTTTAAATCCGCCGCTGCCCTTTACACTGAGCGGATCATAATATGTAATGTTAGTAATGTAAGCATGAACTACTCTGTGCGTGCTTATTAATTACCCGTTGTAGAATGCACTTGCAAATGAATTATGAAAAATGCCTTTCCCCTTTAAAGACCTTATGTTTCCCACGTTCTTAGTGAACATACTGAATGCTTTTACCTGTGCATACCAATTCACAGAGACAGTATGTGCATACCATGCACAGACAAGTATGCATACATGCACAAGACAGTCATGCATAGTATGCCATACATGCACAGACAGTATGCCATACATGCACAGACAGTTATGCATAACATGCACAGACAGTATGCATACTGCACAGACAGTATGCATACACAAAACACAGTCACAGCTCTGGGACTACTCTCCTCTTCCTGTTGAAACTTAAAACACCTGACTCAAAGCTAACAGCAGCCGTCGGATCTTAAAGGGAAGTGTTTACGAGTCTTAAAGGAGTAGCCTGTGAATGTCTAGAAAAGTTGAAGCTAACTCACCAGCTTAGTTGTAAAAGGAAGCTTTTAAGGGTCTTGTGATCCTGCTTGTTGCAGTTGCAACACATTTATAAAGCTTCCTTTGATTGTTCTAGCTTACTAAGATGAGCAGGCCGTGTGGATGTAGCCTGGAGTTTCGTATCCAAATTACTGACAATCACAGCGTTTCCCTAGCTTATAGTATCCCCCCAGAGGCACAATATTGACACACTTTGAAGATGAACGTGTTCAGTCAAAAGAATGTTATTGCTTGCAGCATTTGTTTTCTGCTCTGCTGCGGGGTGAAGGACTCATGACTCACTGATGGTTACACAAACAGGATCAATGCACCAAATACTAGGGATGCACGATATTTGTTTTTTTGAAACCAATACCGATAACTTCCTGCTTCCTCCAAGACCGATACCGATAATAATATAATATATATATATATTAAATGTACTTGTAGTTTTTTTCACACCTGGTGGTAAAAAAAATACTAGTAGTGAGCAAATGACATGAGCATTACTACTATGAAACAAAAAAAAGCCAAGAACAGTTTTGACTCTTCAAAGTGACCATATTTATTTTTCCCAAATAAATATATAATTGAGTCAATCAGTCAATGACAATGTGTTTCCCTGAACAATGAATGCCATCATTTTCTATGATGAAGTTAGAGATTGTGTTTTAGCCCTGGGGTCGTCTCTGGCAAACTTCTTGCCTTTTTCAAAAGCCTCGTCCGATAGGTAAAAGCCCGGTGCCTTTGCAGCTGGCTTTGGATTCGCCGCTAGTTTAGCAGCGCAGGCGTCTTCGTACGCTTTTAACACACCATCCGTAGCGATGGCGATGTTTCAGGTGACTAATCAGGTTGGAAGTATTATAGCTTGTTTGCCTTTTTCCCTCCTCGTGGAACTTCGGCATTGCATTTGTTAATACAAATAGCAAGCGAACTATCTAACTCTGAAACTTTGAAATAGTCCCATACTACCGACGACATGTTTGTTTACTGTCCTGGCTTCACGGCCGCACACCATTTACGTCACAGCCAGGCATGAGTTTAGGAGCGCTGGATTTGTGAAAAACTCCCCTCTTCCTAAACCACTAATACCACAGTACTAGGGAGCGCTGCGCAGTATTTTTTTCTCTTTTTTACCCAAAAAATATATTGTATATTATCGGGCTATTAATACTTTTATCGGGTTTATCGGGATGATGTCATAAATCCTAGCATCGGGCCGATAATTATCGTGCACCACTACCAAATACTTTTTAACATGCATCGTTAACATTTCAACAGTACACATTATACTCCAGTCTGTCTTTTCACTCCACATGAAATGTTAAGTATTTCCGCTGATACAACATGTATGGGGGCTGCAGGCTTGGATAAAGAAACGCTGTTATTTCCTCGGCTGACCTGAGTGTTTCTCTCTTTCTCTCCACAGGGGACATGGGGGTAGGGAAGTCATGTTTGCTTCATCAGTTCACAGAAAAGAAATGTAAGTGCTGCCCTGATTTTGACTCCCTTTTTCGTATGAGCTTGCGCATGTGAGTGTGTGCGGTTGCCAGGGTTAACTGGAGTGCCTAAATCGCTAAAGCTTTCTTTATACGCCAGCGGAAGTGAGAGGCATAGAAGTGGAGTGTGAGCGCAACAGTAGGAGACTCTTCTTCTGCGTGTGACTCAGCTGCAGCCTCCCATCGCCATTCAGCTCCGCTTTGTTAGAGCTACTATTGACGAGCCAGATGCTGTGTTCCTCATTCACTTGCCACCATCATTTTCTGCAAACACACACACACACACATATTGGTGGGGTTTAGAAAAGGTTCTCGGTGTCGGTTCAAAATAAATGTACCGCTTTCTGGGCGTTGATACTTTGAATTTATAAGTGAGTATAATGACTCTAAAGACGGTGATTAATTGATTATGATTGATGCACCTGCACGGCTGACAATGGAGGTGTGTGTGTGTGTAAGAGAACTTGAACACACTTCCCTTCACACTTACTGTACATGTTCTCCCTTTTTTTAAAACTTAAAAAAGAAGAATTATTGCTAATTCAATGGAAAAAATGCAATTGAAATTAAACTAAATAATAAATGCTGATACAGAAATGAATAAAGTTAAATAATGTAATCAAAATTGAGTGTATAAAATGGCATTAGTCAAACTAAATGACCCCAAGAGCCGTCTCGAATTCATCCTAACCTCACTTCCTCTCCCCAGTCATGGCGGACTGCCCCCATACGATCGGCGTGGAGTTTGGCACGAGGATAATCGAGGTGAGCGGGCAGAAGATCAAGCTGCAGATCTGGGACACGGCGGGGCAGGAGCGCTTCAGGGCGGTGACACGCTCCTACTACCGCGGGGCCGCAGGGGCGCTCATGGTCTACGACATCACCAGGTACAGGCCATGGTTCATTGTTAAGGTCTGTGAGAGACACGGTTACTACACAGCATCGAGTTTACACTAAAGCTCAAGAGGAAGGTTAATGGATGCAAAACAATCTGATAAGCACACAGCCCTCCACTATAGACTCCTTCCTGAACAAAAGACAAGTGAGATGGCATCAGGGGTGTGCCAAATAAACACAGCTCAACATGTGGAATGTCCCTCCACACCACACCCACTGCAGCAGAGCCTAGGAACAGCACTTAACTGGGAGAGCTAATATTATTGTTTACATGCCTGTTAATGTGGCCACTCGCGGCTCCTGCTCGGCTAACTGGAGACAAATATTTGTTGTGTCAATCTTTAAAACACACAGCTGATCTTTATCCATATCCTGTTATCGAAGGGTGTGGCTTTTATAACCAGTTTATTTGTCTATTATTGGCTGTAGTTCAAGTTTGGTCACATGGTATATGCTACACACTTGTTTAAAGGGTACAGTGTGTCAGTCAGTGCAGTAAACTTCAGATATGGGAATAGACTGATTCATTGGCAATCGGACAACATTTGAATCCGTATTGTTGTCAGGCCAGAATTTCACAATTAATGCTACCCTCATTTTAGAGCTAACCAGATCCCCTGCATGATTATTGTCACTTAAGATCAAACTCTGAGGAAATGGTCCATTTAAAGAAAACAGGAAATGTTAGATTAGACTGAAACCAGTGACAGGAATTGTCAATTCCAGAAACCCCTAAAACGTTCCCTATCTGAAATGAGGTTGTGTCACTGTTGCTCTCTCCTCATCCTGATTTGTGTAGCAGCTGCTGATCCTGATCCCTCCTCAGACGTGGCATCGTTAAGTCTTCTTTGCCTGTTGTCATAGTAACCCCTGTCCCCTTTGTTGATGTCATGCAGGAGAAGCACGTACAACCACCTCAGCAGCTGGCTGACTGATGCCAGAAATCTCACCAACCCTAATACTGTGAGTCCAAAGATACAGTAACGCTCTCTATCATTCTGTGTCATCAAACTAACTCAATGCCCCAGCATCCTCTGCCCTCTGTATTTTCTTTTACTGTGTTGTTTTCTGTCCTCCTGTGACCTTTAAGTATCCTCCTGTTGTCACTTCCTCTGCTTCCCATCCTTTAGTTTCCCCTGTGTCTTCCCCCCCCCCCCGAGCCTGTTCAAAGCCACAGAGCCCTGTCCATTTCTTAAATTGAATGTCTTGGTAAATATGATTAGCTCTAAAACACAGTTCTCTAATTTACTGAACTGTGCTGTGTTCAGGGAACTGTATTTCTGAAATATGCCACGCCAGGTTTTGAACATCAAGTAAAAAAAAATTCCTGGTATCTAAACAACAGAGGTTTATTTATGTCGAGCTATCCTTACACATCATGTAATGGTTTCTTGTTTCCCTCTCATCTTTATGGGTAAATATGCCCACAAGCTTATTAATTATGAATGTCATTTGAGACATGGGTTTTTGTGGTGTCCTTCCTGTCATCTCTTATAAAAACAAAGTAGTAGAAGCAATCTGCAGAAGCATCTTAGCCTCGTTTTGTTTTCACTGAGTCTCCTTGAATCAGCCGTGTGATGGCAGTGTTGGAGTCATCACCACTGTGTATCATTACAGTACTGCAAGTGTCAACATGTGTTCCTTGCGAGATGGGAAACATAATGAAAACATTATCTGATCACTTGAGTCTGAATGAAAGGGTTGTGTAAGACTTCTTGGAATTAAGAAAGAACTTCTAAATATCTTGGCTCACTTTCCCAAAAACAGCCAGTAATTCAAAAAGGAAGATTTAATTTGACTTACAGAAGTATTTGTGCCTATTACTTGTCATTGGATAGAGCACAGTGAGGATCATTGTGAGAAGTGAAACACAAGTCAACGCGCTGCAGTAGGAGTCTATGGAGAGTCTGCCACTGCTACAACAAGGAGGCTTACGTTACATGAGTTCATTACAGGTCTAATTGCATCAGTTGCTATGGGCGCAGTCTAGTGTGTTTGTTTGTTGTGTCTCTCTGCTCCTCAGTGTATTCCTCTATCCATCTCTTAACAGACAACAGTGTAACAACTGCTCTAGGAACAGTGTTCTAATACTGCCTTCTAAGCTCTTGGAAAAACACATTTCTCACCCGCCACGTTCATCTCTCTGTTCCTCAGGTGATCATTCTCATAGGAAACAAAGCGGACCTGGAGGCCCAGCGGGACGTCACGTACGAGGAGGCCAAGCAGTTCGCTGAGGAGAACGGTGAGACAAACGGATCATCAGGAAGAAAGGAACGAGGAATATAGGCGGAGGAAATATTTTTGCTTTAGGGATTTCAACATGCTGTTAGACTTTAAGGAATGAACCAATCGGTAAATCAGTCATTCCGCAAAGACCTCTTTCAAAACTGGGACTAATCAATCCTCAATTTCAACACTATAATCACATTTCCAACAAAATGTCCAAATAGTTAGAAATAAAATACAGCAATAATATGAGATCCAGATTGTTTATAACAGGAGCCCCTATGGCTGATTTCAAGAGGCAGATGTGAAGATTAACACCCCCTAATATCCTTTTCTATTTATATGGCTGGGACAGAAACTAGGAGAAGGTGACTTGAGGAAAGCGGGGATATTAATCAAACGAGCGGGCGATTGAGAACTTGGCACTTGAGCACTGTGAGCTTGTAACAATGTTTTACTGAATGTGTCATTGCGTCTGCTTTATGTCCCCCAGGTCTGTTGTTTCTGGAAGCCAGTGCAAAAACGTAAGTCTGCTCAGCCTCAGCGACTCTCTGCTTACATTCCCTAACTCCCAGTTGCCTCCTTTCTCACATTTGTGTGTTTTTCGCTCCGTGTTTCAGAGGTGAAAACGTTGAGGACGCATTCCTGGAAGCCGCCAAGAAGATCTACCAGAACATCCAAGATGGCAGCCTGGACCTGAACGCGGCTGAGTCGGGGGTCCAGCACAAGCCGTCGGCCCCCCAGGGCGGCCGGCTAACCAGCGAACCACAGCCCCAGAGGGAAGGGTGCGGGTGCTAATGACGAAGCAAACTCTCGTCATCCTCCCTTGCTCCTTCCTTCTCTCTCCGTCTGTCCCTCAACCCCCCCCCATCCATTCCTTCACCTCCGTACGTCCATCCCCCCTCCTCCCTCACTGCACCAGGAGCATGAGAGCAGGGCGAAGGACAGAGGGATGGATATCAACTGGGGCCAGGCTGAGCTGGGCGGACTACATCTCTCCCCTCTCCCCCCTCTCCCCCTCTCTTTCTCTCTCTAAAATCTGTCTGTGTTGTCGTCCCATAACTCTCCTCTTTTACTCCCCTCCGCTCCTCTCGCACCATTCAGCGTGGTCCCCCCCTCCCCGTCACAGCATGGTAGACGCCACCACACGGGTTACCGACACTTTAGATAGACGTAACGTTCACACGATAAACCGAGACTGTTTTTTACGTTTGGTTTTATAGCTGTATATGACATGTAAACACTGCATTAAGTTTCATCCACCGCGAATCAGTTCTTACATGTAGTCTCCTAACATCCTGCATGGTTTACCACTGGAGCATTTGACACAGACATGCGGGTGCGATATCTCACTCCCTCATGTTTGTGGGATCAGACAGGGACGGAGATGCAGTCACACAAGCAGAGGGTCTCGAGTGTGTTTCGAAGCCGAGAGAGCGTTTTCAGAAGGACTAAAACTTGCTCGTGGTTTTTAATTCTGTTTCTGCTGCTCGGCACCAACAGAGTTCCTTCGCCCGATGTGGCCACACTGATGTTCTCAGGAGAGAGAGGAGGAATACTTTACAAAACCAGGAATTGCCCACAAATTCCTTTGGAAGTTATTCCTCAGTCTCTCCTCTGAGAAATCACAGGAAGACATATTCTCCCGTCTGCTTAGTGAGAGTCTGTTGAGAAGTTGGGTGGGGGACTATAAAAAAAAAAAACATGGCTTTTCTGTTTGATAGATTCACTCACATCGGCTTCTCTAAACCAGCTCTCCTCGCCCCCCCCCCGCCCCCCCCCAAGCTCTCCCCCAGGTCATATCAACCGATTCTGTCTTTACCAGCATTTTCTTTGTCATTGTTTGTTGCCTTACTATAACTCATGTTAGTACCCTCATCTTTATTATTGTATCGCTGCACTTGCTCTTCACACTGCTGTTGGACTCACCCCGAGTCAATGAAATCAACTCTTTTTAGATAAAGCATTTTACCGGAGAATAAAAATGCAAAGTGTTGGTTCACATTGTATAAAGAAATATCAGCAGCATGGTCAGAAAGTGTCAACAATCCTTTGTCTCTGGCGCTGCACTGTTCCTTTGGCCAGGTGTTCCTCTGCCTTGTATAGTACAACACCAAGCGGCATGCACCCCCCCCCAAACACCCTGAAATTATCACAAATTCAAGTTTCTTTTTCAAGTAAAAAAAACGTTCTGTACCATAGTGATCCCAGATTGGACAGCTGTATATATCGCTTCTTAACTATTGGTGATGACCTCGCTACTTGGAAATGTAGACATTTAGCTGGCTCTGCCAAGATCTGTACAGTTGATGTGCTTAGTTGCCTATAATTCATGCTTGGGAAATTCTGTAACATAGTTTCTATTAATAAATGTACGTAAAGGACAGACACCTAAACACCCCCCCCGCCACCACACTACTGAACCTGTCGATTGGTTGAGGGGAGAGGAAGTGGATTGATATGTGAACTAGTTTTTATGTCTGCAAACTCTAATTCCCTCATTTCTTTATGGAGTGGAGAATGGGGCACTTTAATGTTTATATTCTCTTTTCCACCCCCATCATCCCTCCTCCACATGGGAGGGGCCTGCATCGCTGTCTTAACTTTTGGGGATTGGTTTGTTATTGTGGGAAGTTGGTGGGCTGGGTCTTCCTTTTTCCTGTGTCCCTCCTCTTTGCAGTCCGAGTGACCACTTCCTGCTTTTGTCTGTCCACAAGTACAAAAAAAGTACATATGTATAAATTTGTAACGAGCTGTGCTAACATTTAAATGCGCTGAGTGTATATGATTTTAAAATGTTGACATTTTGATTTTAATGACAAAATACTCTAGACAGAAAAAAATAAATTATACATAACCTGTTGCTGTGTCTCTGTTGTTGCTTTGAAAACAGAATATGAATTACTGCTAATGTGATTAAGAAAAAAGCACCAGACTGTTCTGTATTTCAAGTAGCACAACTGCTTTGTATTTTATTGCAACAAAAATTGCACCAAGGCTAGAGAGAGAAAAAGAAAACATATTTACAAAGGAAAGCAAAGTTTGTCAACAAAATTGGTGAGAAGACTTAGACATTAGAGTAGATGGTATGGTTGAAAAGGAGAGAAAAACAGATGAGCCGACACTGACAGTACCATGTTGAAGTTAACGCAGACAGGGCATGGGGGTGTTACTGACAAAAGATGTTACAGTGGATATTCATGGGTATTTTAGTCTATAATGGTCAGCTTATCACTTTTGTAAGACAGCAAGTGAGAGATTGATCAACATTTCAGTCCAGTGTTTCCCCCAGGATATATTTATTTCTTGCTGGGGTAGAAAGGCCTCTGAAACAGCATCAGGACCACGTGTCATTAGCCCTCCAAAGAGCCCTTTCAATGGTGAGAAACACTGATCACTCTTTACAGATCAAACATGGGGGGGGGGGGCTGCTACTGATGGCTTTCGTGACTGGCATGTAGAGAAAGTTGAATTAGTTTTACAAAAGTAAAAAAAGTCTGATCCACAAAGAAGCAGATCGTGCACCCTGGTCCCTCTCCAGTATCGACTGGAGACAAAGGTTTTTGGTATGGCAATAACACAAGTATATCTAATAAACAAATCAACACAGCTATCCACTCTGCCACATCTCTGTAAAGTGGCAAGTCCTAAACAGCTCTGCCAATAGTGTTAAAGGCACTACTTGTCACCAAAGTGAGGTGAGGCAAAAAAGGTGAAAACCAGAAGCTCATTCTGCCTCATTTGCTTGCTCCCATTATTATTTTATGGCACATGGTTGCAAATACTGCAAAAAGCATTCATACAGAACAAACACTGACACGTTTTCCTCACTCGGCACACAACCAGTCACTGATGAAGCAATGCAACAAGTTGGACAGAGGCATCAGGTTATAAACACTGTGATTCCAGATGCTCCCTAATTCTCACAATGTGTCAATAGAAATATGAGATCAGTCGTTTAAAAGTTAGAAGGCATCCTAGAACAAGATGAGGTTAAGGTTTTTCTCATTGTCATTGGCATCGATGAAGAATCATACTTTTAACAGTGATATATCAAAGGCCTCTTCTACTAGTGTCATCGATAAAGGGGGAGAACACAACGAGAATACATAAGACATGATCATTTCAGAAATGATTGGTGAAAAGTCATGTTGATAAAGTATTGGCCCCTCGCCTCTCATAAAGGCCAAAAGACAGTTCATTCATGGTTAAGGCTTTTCAATATTGCATACTCTGACGCGGTCTACAGAGAGAGTCCTTTGATTCCATCCACAGTAACAACAGGCTTAAGTGTTTCAGAGTGAACTGTAGTGACACTCCGCTCTCACGCAGGCTTTACCCTCCGACAGCTCAACATGGACTGCTCAGAAAAAAAAGAGTAGTGTAGGAAACAGTTTTATATCAGTTTTACATCTTGGTAGCTTTATGGCGCTACCTCTGAACAATGTCACTGATCTCTTTGACGGACGACAGCAGCTTGCTGAAGTCCTGCTGTGCGTTGGCGCCCCCTGTGGCGGTGGGGCAGATCTGCAGCTCCCGCAGGCTGTTCTCCAGCTTGTTGATGGCCTCGCGGAAAGCGAACTTGTTCCTCATCTGCTGTATGGAGTCCACGAAGCTCACGCAGTACTTGGACAGGTTCTTGCCGGCCTCCAGCACGGCGCTGTGGCTGCCCGTCTGCTCAGAGTTTCGGCAGATGGCCGTGCGCAGCCGCTCGGTGCCTTCCAGCACCATGTCCCGCGTCACGGCCGAGTTGGGGGTGCGCTCGGTTGCCTGGCGGGGGGCCGTCTTGCGGAGGGAGCGCCGGGTGTTCACTAGGGGGATGAAGGCGGTGGGCGAGCACAGGTCGCCGGGACAGGTGAGGGAGGAAGAGAAGCCTCCCAGGCTCTGGCTGGAGAGGGAGGTGGTCACTGAAGAGGAGGAGGCGGAGGTCTTTAACGGTTGAGGTTTGGAGGCGGAGCCCAGAGACAGCTTCTTGGAGCCTTCGCTGAGGGGGGAGCGGGCTGAGTCACTGGCAGTGGTTGTGTGGTGGGGCTCTGAGGGAGAGGGGAGGCCCTTAGCTTTGATGTCTGAGGTGGAGGGGAGTTCTGAAGTGGGGCTGCGGGAAATCTTGCCCGATTTGGCGTTGGTGGGTGGTGGAGGTGGGGCTGGCTTGGGTTTCTGTATCTTTCCTCGTTCCCTGACAGATTCCCCGGAGTGCTTGTTCCTGCGGGCCCTGCACTCGTCTCCAGCGGCCCCCAGAGCCGGGAACACGTTGGGCTTGAGGAGCTCGGCGTGGAGTGCGCTGGTCTTGGAGTTCTCCAGTCCGAGCAACCCCGGTCTCCGGACCACCTTTGGCGTTAGGGCCTGGGGATCAGTGTCTTTGCATAAGAAGGAAGAGGAAACGTCTGAAAGGATGTTCAGACGTGGCGGGGGAGTCAGGGTCCCCTTTCGAGGGGCGTTCTCCCCTTTTTGCTCACTGGTTCTCTTGCGTGGAAGGGCTGGTTTCCCCCCGAAGGTGCCCGAGTCGAAGTGGCGCTGGCCGAGGTCCCGGGGCAGCGTGACGGACTTCCACTCTGTGCCGTCAGAGCCGCTGGGCATGCTGGAGGACCAGAGGAAGCGCTTGGTGTTGGACATGGGCTCCTCCTCGCTGGGTGGGGTTGTGGCTGCTTTCCCTCCAGGGCCAGGCACTGCAGGAGCTCCCTTCTTGCGTGGGAACAAAGGCCCCGGGTAGGTGGGGGCCCCGTTGGTGATGCCCCCTGCCCCGTTATTGTTAGGAACCAGGAACTTTGCAGAGTCGAGGCCATGTGTGATGTCATTAATGGTCAACGAGTTACCGTTGTTGAAGTTGTCGCTGTCTCGGAGATCTGGAGTCATGCCCCTTCTCTCGGGGTGGATGTCCATCTCTCTGAAGGACGAGCTGCGTTTGGGCGGAGCGGGCGCATTCTTTTTCTTTTTCTTTATGAGACTGAGAAAGCCACGACTCTTGTCCTTGTCTTTGGGTATCAAGCGATCATCCTCATTCAGGTTACTGTCCAGCAGGGGGCGCTCTTTCCTGGGGAGCATGGGAGAAGACACAGCTACATCCGGATCCAAAGGGTCTGAGGAAGAGCCCAAAAGAACCAGAAAACAATTAGTGATAAGGAAGTAATACTAAACTACAATTAATTCAACGGGCTAGAGAAAATGAATAACCATTTTACAGCAGGTTGTAACAGTGGCAGTGGGTGGAAGTGCGTCTCACCTGGACTATCTCCATCCCGGTTGTCCATGTTTTTGCGGAGAGTTCTGGTTTTGGTGGGCAGCTGTGGTGCCTGCTGGGTGGGGCCCCATGTTGCCTTCTTCCCTTTCTTTCCCAGCTCCTTTTCCACCTCTAAAAGTAAAAATACAGACAAGATTCAACACTATTATCACATCTTAATAACTATGATAGAAGAACGAACAAAAACCACCAGCCTCAGGGACAGTTTTTATCCCACAGGCAATAAGACTGCTAAACGCCTGAGCTCTGATAAGTGCCGCCATAACCATTCATCTGTTTGTCATCTTACAATGTATTTATCTAAATAGTTACAACTGTAATAAACAGTATTTAATTTCATCTTGCTGTACATTATTTCATTTTACATTCTGTTCTTGTATATATCATATTCTATGTACGTGTGTACATAGACTTCTGCACTATTTTTGAATTTGTTTTATTGTGTTTGTCTCACATAACTATGTTGCATTGTTGGAGGTCGGAACATAAGCTTTTCATTGTCATTTCTAAACTTTAGCTTATGTGCATATGACATTAAAACCGTTGAATTGAAATTGAAGGGCATGAAAATAACAGGGATATCAAAGATTGCCGTACTGACCATCAGAGATGCTGGACTCCTGGAACATGGTTTCGAAGGCTTGGTGTGTTTCAGCAAAAGATGGACGCTCTGTGGGGTTCCACCGCCAACCTGCCAGAGAGATGTTGTGAATAAATAATAAGGACATCCTTCATGATTAGTGACTTCAATCATATTCAGTATAGATGATGTTGCTACTCACAGTCCCTCATGAGCTCGTAGACCTTCTCGGGGCAGCCCTCCGGTCGGTCCATGCGGTAATCCTTCTCCAGCAGCTCGTACACTTGGGACAGGTCGATGCCGGGGTACGGAGACATGCCGTAGGTGGCGATCTCCCACAGCAGCACACCGAATGCTGGAGATGTAGGCACAAGACAGCTAGTTGTGCTATTCATACGATTAACAACGGAAACACGTCAAGAGCTAAATCATTGAACTGTAAATGGTGGGAAGGTGGAAAACAATGGACCCTTGTTGAAGAGGAACCTGAAATAAAGATGTTAAAGGAGGAACATCAGAGTACGTTGTATGCTGTAATGAGATCAAATTACCCCAGACATCAGATTTGATAGAGAACTTGTTGTATGCCAGACTCTCTGGAGCGGTCCACTTGATGGGGAACTTGGCCCCAGCATGGGCGGTGTAGGTGTCCCCGGTCATCAGCCTGCTCAGGCCGAAGTCTGCAACCTTCACCAGGTGGTTCTCCCCGACCAGACAGTTAC